ACCTTCACTGCAGAAAGAGACCTTTCAAAATGATTAATGATAAAATGCTTGTTGTGCGATAAGTGAAAAGGACTTTCAGTTAGCAGTACGACTGTATAGTTAAAGTGGTTTGATAAAAGGAATGAAAGAAAGTATTCTTAGAAGGTCAAGTGAGCATATTCTGCACCACAAAACAGATGCAAAAATAATGATAATAACTGATTTCAAAATTACTAATCATTAGAAATTCTAATGCTGATTTGGTTAAGAAACATTTGTTATTATCAATGTTAAAAACATTTGTGCTGCTTAATATTTTTATGGAAACCGTGATACATTTTTTACAGAAAGTTCAAAAGAACCGCATTTATAAATCTTTAATGCATAAATACATGATGTCTGCTATTTTCATGCCTCCAAATGCATTTCTAGCAATCCGGTGAACTATTTGCACAGCATATCCGAGAGATTATGCTGCATATCATTGGCATCAAATGGATTTCAGAAATTCAGTCTTTCGGCGCTTTCATCTCTTTGCCTATATAGTACAACATTAGGAGAATTTTACGACGTGCAACGTGGGCTTTTTAAAGCGGAGCTATTCCTGTCACACTGCACACAGGCTTCTGCTTATTTCTCTTTGTGAGCTGCACAGCTGGTAGTGGAATGAGAATCAACTGATGTTGTATAATCTATTCTATGGCGTAAGAAAAACCCCAATAATAGACCTGTTGGCAGTGGCTGAACACCAGATTTATAGCTTGACAGTGATGCTTGTAACTTAGTGGAGTGGGAGGCAAAGCTAAGGGTTTTCCATCTTCTAATGAACCATGTCATGTGAGACAACCTAATAAGCATAGTGCAGAGTCTATAAATTCAAAGCCTGCACAGAGCAAATCAGATTTCACTCCTCTGTCAGTCCTGGCATCCTAAGCCTCAACAAACGTCCATCACAGGGTTAGAACGGCAGCATTGCTTTCAATTTAATTAACTCTCCACTTCATGGACTTATGATTAATATTTCCTCATCCATAATGCAGAAACTGGGCTCAATGCTAAATATGACAGCATCATTTGCACTGGTAACTGAGTGGCATGTTTATTCATTTATTTTAAAAGTGTCACTATATGTAAATGATGCCTGTCGTGCTATTTGCTTTGGTTGGATTCCATTTGTACCTTATGTACTTTACTAGCAAATGATTTGATTATTCCATAATAAAAGCAAGCATAGATGTTCGCAGACCTCTAGGATTAATTATCAAAATATTTTACTTTTATTTATATTATTAATCATTTTAAATAAACACACACAAACACGTGTGTATATATATATATAAAAAAAAATTATCTTCTGGAAAAACATTCAACATTGGTGTGTTTCCCACTTCAGAAAAATTATATTATGTCTGTCATGCTATTTGTTTTGATGAGATTCCATTAGGCCTAATTATTTGTTTATATGTTTTTAAGCACAAATGATCAGATTATTCCATAACAAAAGCTATCATACAGATGTTCGCAGCCATCTTTTTATTTATTGTAACTTTTATTAATACTATTAATTTTTCAAACAAACTTTTTTTTTTAAATAAATGTAAATATCTTATGTCTATTTCTGGAAAAACATTCAACAAAAACCATGTGGTGCTTTTCTCACTTCGGAGTCCAAATTAGGTTTTCCACTAGTAAACGTTCAAGGATTTCCACAGACCTAACTAGACTTCTACCCATTCTCTAGCAATCTTTTCAGTGCCAGACCAAATAAATGGACCTGTTTCAGCCGTTCTGCTGCACTAATGTGTGGATGCACCTGTGCTGCTTTGTCATGGGTCACTGGAGGATGTGTGTGATTAAACACGCCATCTTCATGCCTTTAATAGGAACATCAGCAGTGGGTATGGAGCTCACAGATGCATTATTATCACACCATTTGATACAAACAGAAAGCTCTGGATATTAAAATGCTCAGACAAAATGTATTCTATTCAAGAAATCGAGGTATGATCAACACATAATACACCACTATAAACATTTAGGCTATAATCAAAGCATGATTTCTAACAGTCAGACATCCCAGCCTGGATTCCCAGGTGACAACCAAAGATGCATTTGCTTTGCAAAACATAATGCATATGGTTGAGGAAAACTGACTGCATGATCATGATCTTTTTTGGGGGTTAAAAATTACCCCCAAAACATATTTGAGAAAACGCATAACCAGCCAGTGTTCAAAACTATCTGCTTGCCTTAGCTCGATTCAAAGCGGTAAGCTTGTAATAATGTTTTTAATTCCAGTGGTACTGGTGGATTTCCGCGGGAAATTCGAGCATATCTTTGCGTCATTACGTCACATCTGTACACATAAAGAAGGAGTCTCGGCTAGTATAAGCTATATTGCGTGTGAGGATGTTGGAGGTGGAGATTTATAGCCTTTTCTCACAGCACTTGATACAATTAAACTTATCAATTGTATGGCGGATGCAGAAAGGTTCAAACGACAATCACCAGTGACAACAGATTCACCCGCTGTAAAATGCAAAAGACTTCGTTCGGACTTCGGAGTGGCTACAGAAAAAAAGAGACTGCAACCGGACCCATGCGAAAACAAGGATATATCGGAAGGACATTACATGTAGTCACGCAACGCTGACGTTGTTAACATTAACAATTTGAGAACAATAATATGCACTGTTTTGCGTGATATGATAACTTATAAGCGATTGTTAGATTTAATCAGCGCGATTTACTGCAATGTCAGAACCAGAACAAAGGTGGATGTTTCTTACTAGCTCAGATGATATTTTCCGGTGAAAATTATTATGTTGGTCATACTTCCAAAAAGAATAATCTGTGATTCTGAATGACAGTATCCACACCGGCGTGGTGACTGACAGCTGCACATTCTCCTCAAACACTGTGTTCCTCCGCGCTGTGAGGTGTCGAGGGTGTTGAAGTACAACTCATGTAAAGTTGATAATTCCGCGAATGACTGCAATTGCAGATTTCGAACAGAGATGGCGACAAAGAGGAAAAACGCCAGACTGCAGCTTTAAGAGTTTGATGAAATCTACTACAAAATACCCTTTTGCTGAGTTTTTAATAGTAACATTTAATAGAGTATCTGTGCCAGTGAAAGAATATTGTTATGGTTTATGTTTAAAGGGATGGTTTACCCAAAAAAAAAAAATTATGTCAAAATTGAAAAGGTGCCCACAAGACTCTTTACTCCTCTTTATTCCAAGCCTTCTGGAGTCATATGATGACGATTATGTGAGGAACAGAACGAAACTTCAATTGTCATTCGCTACATGTACCAATCGACCGGCCAGGGACCGGATTTGGACAATTTTCCACATAATCGGCCCGAAATCAGTCTCTTGTCTTTCCGATTGGTCTTTTCTGTTTTGTTGCCAGCGGGACACAGGCAAAAACGTCAGCTTCGCACACACCCGCCTCATCTCATTCGCTCCGGTTATAGGCTAGTGCTTGTATTGCACACAATTTTAGTCATTCCCGCATGTTTTGTGCTCACACCAAAAGCGTGTGCACCACTGATCTATACAAGTTCTTTATTGTGAGTCGCAAGTACCAAAATTATTGGCTTAAATGGTCAAATACATACAAAAAAAAAAACTATGTCAAAATGCCTGTCTTGGCGAGTATTCAGCTAAACACAGTTAGTTTTGGTACGTTAAATAGAGAAACTGTATGTTGAGTAACAGTATATTGGATCCGTGCATAAACTGTTAAAGTGTCAGCTAGGGCTGTCACGGTGAAGGAATTTCCCTTGCGGTAATTTTGAGGGCTCAATAAACAGTCAATTAGGTCTTAACTGAAGGTAGGCTAAACAGTTAAGAAATAAAATGCATATGTAACAGTAGACTATACTGAATCAATACATTAACTCTTCAAGTGAAAAATATCCCTGCTGCTGTCTGCGTTTTTAATGTTAATTAAACAAATAAAGACAAAGAACAATCACTCATTGCTCTTGACTGAATAACATTTGTAACTTTAATAAGGATTTATCTGTTTCATGGCTGCATGGTCAATTTTTTTAAATAAATTATATTTAGAAAACAATTTTAAATTGTATTATTTCACATTACTGTTTTCCTGTAGTTTTGTTTTTTGTTTAAATGAATGCAGCAATGGTGAACATAGACTTTTTTTCAAAAACATTTAAAAAAACTAGTTTTCAAAATTTTGGCAGGTACAGTACCCAATAAAAATTATCATGAAGTTTTTATTAATCCATCTTTATTTCACCATCATTCACAATGCTTCGTAGGATTGTTGTTATTTCCCCTCAATAAAGCAGTTTATTACAGTCTTGGACCTTTGTCTTTTTTGTCCAATTTTCGATTTCTTCAAATTAAAGTTTGTAATGTTGTGATTCACCTCATATCTGGTTGGTTTCGGTCATGGCTTGTGACGACTTTTTTTTAAAATCCTAATCCTAAAAAAAACTACTTTCAGAATAAAAAATTCTGAAGAAGTGGCCACAGTTGCACACTGGAGGTAAAGATTCTAAACAAAATATCAGTCTTTCCCCTACACAAATCTATCAAACAGCTTCAAAAGACATGAAGAATAGCACTCTAAGTCTGACCTATAGTTCATTGGTGATATTGTATCCTTTTCAGGTTTGACATCTTTACTTACTATTATCCATTGACACTACATGGCAATGGCATTCTTCAAAATCTCTCCTTTTTTTGTGTTTCACAGAAGAAACAAATAAGAAGTCACAAGTCTGGAACAAGATGAGGGGTGTTGAATAGAATTTTCATTTGTGGGTGAACTATGCAATGCAAACTCATTTGTCGTCCTTGGCTTGCAGTTGTGTGTTTGTTGTAAAGGAGACAACAGACAGCAGAATGTGAAACCCTAATGAGCTTCCTACATTTTTTGGGCATCATGTGCACCTACACCAATCGAGAATCGAACGTGCATATCATGTCCCTATCATACTGGCTAGGTAGACAACAAGGTTTGAGACAAAACCGCAGTCTTACCCAGCTTTGACCGAGACTCTTCCAGCTTCTGAATCTGGTTCTCAATAAAAAGCATCGCCACTCCAAACGCCATAACAGCCAGCAGCTGGAACTTGGGTGGCATGATGATCCTCAGGAGCCCCATCTAAGTATCGGATGATTATCTACATGTCATGCCGTAAATTTGAATGAAAAGCGTGGATCAATCCGTTACTGGAGCAGTAATATCGACTCCGGACAGATGATCTCGATTATGCGCAGAGAACACAGTAAAGTTATAAATGTGGTAACCGAATACATCAAGTGCAAACAATGGCATTTCAGACGCTCATCTGTTAGCGGAATGTGGTATTCTGAAAAAAACCCTGGACTCTTGACTCTCGGTCTTAGTTGTTGCACATCAGCGCAGCTCCAATCGTCCACTGCTCTGCTCTCCTGCGTCAGTCAACACAGGGATTTTATTCCTCCGCGGACTGAAGTGAGGCGAGTGAACGAGATGACGCTTATAGCGCCATCTATCGATTTGGAGATTGACAGAAACGATCGCTGGGACTCACTTGCCTTATGCATAGTAAGATTAAGAATCCGTGTCTGCACCTCTAGTCCCTAGCCTACGCGTAGCAGTAGCCTATCATGAGCTAAATACTGGCCTAAGTGTCTGTCCCAAAAAAAAATATTTTCTTTTAGTAATTTAGTCACTTGGCCTTTTACGTTATGTGGCCAAGTCAAATATGTGTTAGGTTTTGTGTATCTCGCCGTTCTCTAAACGATATTTCAAGTTGTTGAGGCCTTTCTAAGTGATTTACAATTTTTGCCTACAACTTACATTTGGCTAAAGGAGATTTGGGGGTGGGCTCTTCTCAATAATTTATGAATAATATTAATAATAATAAATTATAATCAATAAAAACATAGGCCTACATGCGTAATCTACAAACATGCATACGCTCTTAAATGCTGGGGTCAGACTGTTTTTTGGCTTATTTTTTATATTTTTACCCAGGTTCTGGGTTTACTGTTCTATTTCACTCACGTTTTGAGAGAGAATAAAAAAAAAACATTAGTAGGAAATAATGAAGAACGCAATATGCACCGGCTAAATAAAACTGAGAAACATAACCAACTGAACATGTGATGATAAAACTGCATAATAGTTGAGAAGGCTGATTCTGGAGACCTCTCTATTTTAAGAATCTGACTCATATTTCTGAATGTAATTGCAGTGTCCTCCATGGGAATTATGTGTAGATGTATATAAGAATATCTGTATTTATTCTCTGCTGTACCAAGTGTTGTCAACACAGTAAAACCTGTAGAGGCAGGCAAACATTAAAATTGCCACTGGTCAAATCATGTAGATTTGGCTTCTTAAAATAACTCCTCTTACCGTTTGTCACACAGCAGGCACAGCGCTGAATTATCATGTAGGCCTATGTATGACTCTCATCTTCCATAGAAATATATAAAGCCAAATGTTTCCTCACAATCAGACTGCAGTATATGATGCACGTTGGAGCAACCAATAGCTTACTGCACATTCGTGGCCAGATTGTGATGTGTTTTAGAAAAAGAAAAAAAAAAAGGATCCACTGCTGAATAGAAACGTATGTGTCACAAACACAGGAGGAGACAGACAGGTTTAGGTGCACACAGTGTTTATTAAAAGCAGAGTGGTGGTGGAACAACGGGAACCAGATGATGGTGAGAGGATGGTGACTTGTAGAATGATGATGGTGACTTAGCTGGCGATGACTGAAGTGGATTCTCTGTGCAGGTGACGAGTGAACACGAAGACAGGCGGTCTGTCAGGATGACAGACGGACGACAGACAGGAGACTGGATACAGGACGAGACGATCTCAGGTGAGTAGATAGATAAGGAGTCTGACATAAAGCAGTGTATACTGCAACAAGACCAGACAAGGAGTGAAAGGGGCATATAAAGGGTGTGTTGATGATGGAGTGCAGCGAGTCAGTACTCTGGTGATTTTGAACGAGTGGGCGGGTCCTGGTGATTGAGTGATGATTGGGGCTCGGGGGGCTGGGCGGTCAGGGTGATCTTCGTGGAACTGGGTGAGTAGCAACGGGTCCAGGATGTCATCCCGAGACACCCATGAGCGTTCTTCTGGACCATATCCCTCCCAGTCGATCAGGTACTCAAGGCGGCCGCCCCGCCGCCGTGAGTCGAGGATGGTATGGACTCGGTACACTAGGTCCTCGTCAGCGACATCTGGAGGAGGAGGTACTTCGTCCGTGATAGGTTCTGTAGGGGAAAAGGGAAAGAGGTTCAGTGAAAGGTTTCAGGAGGGAGACATGAAATGAAGGTGAAATACGGTAGTGAGTTGGAAGGTTGAGCCTGTAGGCGACCTCGTTGACCTGCCTATGCAAGATGAAGGGACCTATGTAGCGGGGACTCAGCTTACGTCAGGGCAGGCAAAGACGGATGTCATGGGTGGAGAGTCAAACCTTTTGTCCCAGCTGGTATTGGGTGGCTTCAGCTCTACTGACATCCGCTTGGAGTTGGTGTCTTCGCACTGCCCGCTGGAGATGCACGTGCTCAGAGTCCCATACACTCTCACTCTCTTCGAACCAGTTATTGACAGCTTGAACCTCAGAGGGTTCTCTGGACCAGGGGGAAGTGAGGAGGTTGGTAGCCAAGAATACATTGGAACGGAGTAAGCCCAGTAGTGGATTGGCGCAGGGAATTCTGGGCATACTCCGCCCAGGGGAGGTAGCAACTCCAGCTGTCTTGGTGCTGGTGCCAGTATGACCGCAGATATCTCCCCATCTCCTGGATCCTGCGCTTAGTCTGGCCATTGGTTTGCGGATGGTAACCTGATGATAGATTCACTGAGACACCGAGGAGTTTGAAGAACGCCTTCTAAACCCGGGAGAAGAACTGGCGACCTCTATCCAATACGATGTCTTCTGGTAGACCATAATGACGGAATACTTGTTGGAACAGGAGTTCTGCGGCTTCGAATGCGGTGGGCAGGCCCTTGCTAGGGATGAGTTTACAGGCCTTGGAGAAGCAGTCAAGGACGACAAATACACAGGTGTGATGGTTAGACGGAGGAAGGTCTGTCATGAAGTCAATGCCAAGGTGGGACCAGGGACGTCTGGGTATCGGCAGAGGTACCAACTTTCCCTCGGGTAGCTTCCTTGGCGTGTTGGTGATGGCACAGAATGAGCACCCTCTGACATCGGGAGATATCCTGGGCCATGTTGGGCCACCAGTAGCGATCCTGTAAGAGCAAGAGGGTTCTCTGGCTGCCTGGGTGTACAGAGCCCAAAGAGGTGTGTGCCGAGTCCATGAGGGACAGACGGCAGGTGGATGGTACATACAACCGTCCCTCAGGACCTCCCGGCAGAACAGGTTCGGTGTGGGTGGCTTGGAGGATCTGATCATAGAGGGACCATTGGATTGGGCTGACTACCATGGCTGGAGGGAGAACTACTTCTGGAGGACAGGTTTCAGGTTCAGGATGATAAAGATAGGATAAGGCATCCGCCTTGCAATTCTTGGTACCGGGTCGGTAGGTCACGGTGAAATCGAACCGTGTGAAGAATAGCGCCCAATGGGCTAGTCGTGGGTTGAGCCGCTTGGCCTCTCGGAGATAATATAGGTTCCGGTATGACCTCGAAGCGGTAATGAGCTCCCTCCAGCCAGTGTCTCCATTCCTCCAAGGCGAGCTTGATGGTGAGCAGCTCATGATTTCCGATGTCGTAGTTCTGCTTCTCCGGGGCCAGCTTCTTGGAATAGAAGGCGCATGGATGGAGTCGAGGAGGCTCACCCTACCTCTGGTATAGCACCGCTCCATCCCGGTGGTAGATGCATCGACTTTGACCACGAATGGGAGTTCTGAATTGGGGTGCACCAGGATTGGAGCGGTCGTAAAGACATCCTTCAGGTGTTGAAAGGCTTTGGTGTATTTAACAGTCTGTGCGATAAGGGCCCGGTAGTCGATACACGGCCGCAAGCCTCCGTCCTTCTTGGCCACAAAGAAGCTGAATGCGGCAGGGGATGTCGATGGACGGATGAAACGTTGTTTGAGAGCCTCCTGAATGTACTCCTCCACGGTTTGATCACAGTGGATCCCTCCAGCACCAAGAACGAGATCTTCTCCTCATGCAGGCAGCCGACACGTAGCGTGACTGTGGGGGAGAAGTGGCGGACACGTCCACGGCCCAGTGGCTTGCCGAGGATGGTGTGAATGGCTAATTCTTGTGAGCAGTGTTTCCTCTGGAGGTTGAGTCTTTGGAGAAGTTGATAAGAGATGAAGTTCCCTGCAGACCCGGAGTTGATGAGCGCTTGCGTTGAAATGAGAAGTTTTGGGGTTAGAATTTGGACAGGCGTGCGAGTGAGAGGTGCAACTTTGGGCAGGAACTGGATGGTACCCATCGCTGGGCGTGGTGGTCGTATTGGGCAGTTGGTGATGATATGACTTTCTCCCCCACAATACAGACACAAGTGCTGTGTTAGTCTTCTTTGACGCTCAGCGTTTGACTGATGGTAAGTGTCTACCTGCATGGGTTCTGGTGCTGGAAGGGCGACAGATGGAGAGATGGGCAGAGGATGCGAAGCGGGTTGATCCAATGAGTGGGCTGAAAGACGTTGAGAGATATGCACAGTTTTCTGAATGAAACTCTCCAAACCGATGGTGTCATCATAAATCACCATCTGGTGGTGCAGTTCCGGGTTCAGACCCTGGCAAAAGGCTGTCAACAGGGCTGTCTCATTCTAGATGCCGCCAACGTGCGGAACTGCAGAGCATAAGCATTTATAGAAGTATTACCTTTGCGGAGGTTGAACAGCCGATCATGGACAGATAATTTTGATGCGGTTTGACCGAAGACTTCCTTGAAGTGACTGATGAAGGATGCCAATGAAGTCATGACCAGGCCGTTGGCGTGCCAGATGGATTGGGCCCAATGGAGTGCGCGTCCAGATAGCAGGGAAATCATGAAGGCGATACGCGCCTGTTCGGTGGAGAAAAGCTGTGATTGCATTTGAAAATATAGTGAACATTGTAGAAGGAATCCGCTGCAATCCTCCGCCTCACCGCTGTATGTCGCTGGTCGGGTCATGGGACTGGCAGTCATGACTGAAGTGGATTCTCTGTGCAGGTGACGAGTGATATTCATTTTTGAACAGAGTTGAGTGAATATGTCAAGTTCGTTGAATTTTGCCTTTTATAAACTGCAGGCACATTCATTGCATCATTCAAGTGCTTGGCATCCTTTGTGTCTCAATATAAGCACTGAAGATAACAAAGAGAGACAGTATGTCTCAAACAGACTGACCAAAAGACACAAAGGAGATGTTTGTAACAGCTTCTCTATTGCCAGACTTTCCAGTGACGCAAGCATTGATGAATATAGATTTTTTTCACCCCTTCTTTCAGGGGTGAATGATCAGTCTCTGTGTAAAGCAGAACATTTTTGAGCATTTACTGT